AATGATTTACGTCCAATTGAATGGTAAAAGATCAACAGTACTCAAGGTTGTGCCTGATGGCATGGCCTTCTAACCTTTGTGCGGGTTGTTCTTGATTGTATACACCAGATCTATTTTTGAAACTGGAAAAAAAAGGCTGTACCACCCTACCCTCGGTTTAGTGTACGAACTTTAACTGATATATTCAGATGAGTTAATTCCCACAGGGTTTTGAGAAAACCGGTTTAGTGTGTTATTTGCATTTAAGCTTGCGCTCCAAGTCCCTCTCTAGCTGACTTGTAGAAACCACGCCTTCCCTTTCTGCGCACATTAGGAAACATGATTTCAGGAAAAATATCTAGGTGCCACTTGGTTTAAATGGCACATTTGTCAAATGTATTTAGGCTTGAAGTAAGCATTTCCCTGCCATTACAGTGTAATCTCCTATAATACGTTATAACCTGCCCCGATCGGTGGCATTACGATGTGTGTCCATATTCCCAGCATGCCCAGGGCTTTAGGAACAGTCATGAACACAAGTGCTACATCTACAGTTACATCACTCCTGAGCNACTTTTGTGTGTGTGTGTGTGTGTGTGTGTGTGTGTGTGTGTGTGTGTGTACACACACACACACACACACACACACACACACACACACACACACACACACACACACACACACACACACACACACACACACACACACACACACACAAAAGTAGTTCCAAGAGTCTTTTTCAAAATGATGTACTTGTCAGTGCATTTTGCAACATCCCGTACATTATGACAATAAATAAGCAACATTTGATAAACCAGCATTTCAATCATTATATTTTACACAGTGTAAATATTTTTAGGGATTTGTTGCTCCACACACGAGACACAAGGAGAGCTGGAGCTTTGATGGCAAACACTGATTGTTTATTTGGAGCTTCGGCCGGAGAATTCACAAGACATGTCACGGGCCACGGTTTGACCACACGGTAGAGATGCCACAATCAATTCTGAAGAACTCTACTCCAGACCCATGTATTTAGCTAGTTCTGAGAGAATAATCAACATTGTGCATAACAAGATAGAACCATAACACCTCTATCAGCTGACGCCAACAGGCAGGAACAGGGAGACAAAACACTGAGAACACAGCAGCCCAGGTTACAGGTGCGTGTGCTCAGTCTGGACAGTTTAAACTGAAAGTTATGGGCCTTGGAAATTATTCCCTGACACATAGATCTAACATTCGGTCAGTTCTTCCTAAAATGAGTGTTGCAGACCATGTCATACATACATAAACACAAAGTAATTCACATCAACAACATATAATACAAAATAATGTTGTTACTTTTTTTTTTAAACGAGTGACAATACCTGGTGATATAGTCATTTGATGATTTCAAACAACTTCCTGTGAACAGGCTGGAGAGAGACAGACGGAGAAGACATGCCTCCTCACCTAAAACAGACAAATGCAAATGACTCATTTTTGAAGATCTACATTCAAGCACTTATTTTTTGAGGACTTTGATATGGCATTTCGTCTTTTAGGCTAGAATCATCAGTGGATGCATCTTGGGAAGTACTGTTTGCTTTAGAATATGTTTTCGTATGTTAGTCATACAGTAACCTATGTATTTTTTGTGTGTAACATCACTCAAACTTGCTCTAGTATAAAACACATTTCTGCTTCGTTGAAAGCTCTGGTTTGAGCTATTTGTGTTTTTGCATGTGTATGTGTTTACCATTTGTGGTGATAACGGTGTCACCATACATGTTGGTCATCAAGTCAGTTGGATCCTTGAGAAACAAGTTGGATTTCTCTGAAACACACAAGGTAATTTTTTTTTAAACAAACACACACATCATTTCAGTGTATCAAACACACAATGCCCATGTCAGAGTTTGTTTATGGCAGATGGTGCGCATGTAAAAAAAGAGAGGTGGAAGTGTAACAGATATCCAGTTCTAACGTAACAAAATACCAGAATTTAATAATGCAAATACATCTTTTTATCGAAAACACAGGAGGGTTAAACAACACATGACATCACAAATAAAGTCATGGTTGGAAATACTTGTGGTATATGATTTCAGTATGTTTACACAAGGAATATAATAATAAATGATAAGCAAAGTCGTTTTTTTAAGGCTGTGTTTAAGGTAAATCCTGGTAGAAGAAGAAGATGGACTTTTATTAATCCCTCATGGGGAGATTGTTTCTCTGCATTTGACCCATCCTAGTGTTAGGAGCAGTATGCTGCCATTTTGAACGGCGCCCGGGGAGCAGTGTAGGGAATGGTGTCTTGCTCAGGGACACCTCGGCACTTGGTCTTGCCAGGACTTGAACTGGTGACCTTCCAGTTGCCAAGCCAACTCCCTATCGACTTTGCCACCACCGCCCTGGTAGAACGAATTTACAACAACTCAACTGAAATGTTAAGTGCAATCTTACTTTTTCTTACATTTAAATGTCATGCAATATGTTTGACTGAATGTTAAACCTTTTAAATGTATAACTCCTTTGTATTATACCTCTGGCACAAGGATTTTGTTTGGGAAAGCTATGTTATTTCAACAAATGCATTACCTCATCTAATTGAACCCCCTATTTCCCCCTTATATTCCTACAGTAGATGATTTTCTGGTTTTGCTTTTATATCTTCATTTTAAAATGTTATTACAAATAGGAAATTAATTAATATCATAATTATTATATATTGTTGTACAACTAATACATTATGCTGAAGGGTAGCACACTTTAATAGAGCTTTACATCAGTAACAACCCCCCTTTTTCTCTCCAGGAACATCACAAGTCTTTCCCATGACTGATCAGACTAATCTCAGGGTGATTTTTACTCCATATATAGGGGGATTTTCCTGGTAGGCCTACTTCTTTTTTTTTTCTTGGCCTGAGACCTAAATCTGACTCACCACCCTGAGGCTAGTGAGACAAGGAGACAATATGAGCTCACTAGAAACTATAGATACACTAAGTACACTGTAATATGTCTGTGTGTTAACTTAAACCAAAAAGCTATATGCGTAGGCCTATAATGTTAGCAGCTGTGACTGACAGACCATTTTTATTTATTGTTTTCTTTAATGAGGGGCAGCTGAATAAGATGTTCTTCTCCCTGCTCCTTTCCATCAAATTGCTTAAAGTGTACATGTTTTGTTTTACAATAATTGCAATGAGTGGAATTAAATAATAAATATTAAATCATCTGCAATTAAATTACCCATGATGCCCTTCACTTAAAATGTTATTTGTACAGTCTTATTTGCTGTTGGCAACCAAACACGCACTTTGAGCGGTCCTCTAAGGATGCGTGGCGTACACACTTATAAACACACCGACACACACCACATACCACACAGCAGCTCTCTCGTGCCCTGCACCGAGCAGATGAAGGCAGTCGGTCTGTTCAGTATGCGGCACTGGAACACTCTGCTCCGGTGTTTCTCGACTCTCTGCCGGCAGAAGCGCACCGGGTCCCGGTAGAACTCCAGCGACTTGTCCCCGAGCACCGACACGCCGGCATTTCCTGGTAGTTTAGACATTCACGGTAACGCACTTTCGCTACAATAAAAAAAAGAACTGCTGGATTCAATGAGGCTGTTAACGAGTCGTTGCTTACACGACAGTTCTCTTTACTAAAGTTCGGTGTAAATTCAGAGTTAATGCCGCTGTCATCGCCTGTTAATCATTCTAATCCGCGCGAGTCTACCTGAGTGTCAAATATCTGCTTTCTCATTGTTTTCCTCAGGTAATCGTAACCTGACGTGTGACGCGTTCAGGTGATTTCCGTAATTTAGTGATGCGCTACTGTATGTGTTGTTACTTTGTCATTATAAAGCCTACACTTGCAGCATGACTTCTGCTTCTATTGTATGTTTCTATTACTGTCTCTGATGGGTTTTTGGGAAGGCTAATCTTAAAGGGCCAGCACCGTTTTTTAATTTACAAAATTATACTATATAAAACAGTTCAGGTAGAAAAGCAGCACCCACAGAACATATGTTGGCGATACTATATGAAAATAATAAAATTAGATATCTACAAGATTTAAAAAGAGAAAATGGTATACATAGCCTATAAACAAATAAAAACATTTCTACTGATCATAATTCCATTGTTGAGGTATACTAAAATAGATGTATATTGTGCAATTCCAAAATCGCAT